GGTGATGGGTTGAATGGTGCAGCAAACCACCATGGCATGTGTATACTTATGTAACAAAACTGCACGGTTTCACAAATACCCCAGTACTTAAAGTAAAAATAAAAAAAAAAAAAAAAAAAAAAAAAAAAAAAAAAAGAAGAGATAGAAAGGAAAGAAATAGCAAGGTGGTAAATTAAACCTAATGATATTGAAAACTTCATTAACTGTAAATAATCTAAAGACTTGAATTAAAACACAAAGATTGTCACACTGGACAAAAAAACAAGACCAATATATATGCTGCCCTGCCTATAAGAAATCTACTTTAAGTATAATGACACAAATAACAGTAAAAGGATAAAAACATATACTATGCAAAAATTAATTATAAGAAAGCTGAAGTGGCTCTATTAGTATCAAACAAAGTAGATTTCAAACAAATACTATCACCAGAGATAAAGAGGACCATTTCATATTAACAAAGGGGTCAATTTGTTGAAAAAAAGTAATTATCCTACACATGTATAAACACAATAGGAGAGGTTCAAAATATATAAAGAAAATATATAAAAGAAATAGACAAATCACAATTAAAGTCTGACACTCCCTCTTTCAGCAATTGATAGAACAGGTAGATGTAGAGAGTGAATAAGTAAGAATATAGAATACTTGAATGACACTTGATCCAATTAACATTTGTAAAACACTCAATAGCAGCAGAATACTGATTCCTTATAAGTTAACATTGAACATGCAATAGGAGAGACCGTATCCTAGGCTATAGAACCACTCACAATCATACATAATAAATTCTCTTACATAAATGAAATTGAATTAGAAACCAATAACATAAAGCTATTTCATTCTCAGCCTATGATGTCAGTGTAGGACAGGTGAAAATGCTGGCTTTACATTACCACCCAGTAGTAACAAGACATCCTTTCCCCTTTCCTCCAAATTGGTGTAAGAGGAGGCTGAGTGAGAAGCTAATTTTTTTGTTTTTTGACAGTTAAAAAATTTTTAATTGACACTCAGATACAGTGTGATGTTTCAATATATATATACATTGTGTAATGATCAAATCAGCTTGGTGTTGATGGGGTTGCAGACTTTCTCCAGCTCTTTCTGCTGATGTTCAGATTCTTCCTTCTCGTCAGCCTGATTCTTACCGAGCCGGTTGATAATTTCATTACACTTGTCCAGAATCTGCTGTTTGTCATCATCATTAGTCTTGCCCTGAAGTTTCAAGTGAATGCTTGGATGACACTTTGTTCCTCTGCTTCTCATCTTCAACTTTGTACCTCTCAGCTTCCTGGACCATACGTTCAATGTCTTCCTTGCTCAAACGGTGCTTGTCATTAGTGATAGTAATCTTGTTCTCTTTTCCTGTACTCTTGTCCACAGCAGAGACACTGAGGATACCATTAGCATCAATGTCAAAAGTGACTTCAATTTGAGGAACACCTCGGGGTGCAGGAGGTATGCCTATGAGTTCAAACTTGCCAAGCAGTTGTTATCCTTGGTCATGGCACACTCACCTTCATAAAACTGAATAAGCACACCAGGCTGGTTGTCAGAATAGGTAGTGAAGGTCTGTGTCTGCTTGGTAGGAATGGTAGTATTGTGCTTGATAAGGATAGTCATGACTCCACCAGCAGCTTCAATACCAAGGTAAAGAGGAGTGACATCCAAGACCAGCAAATCTTGAACATTTGCAGACTTGTCTCCAGACAGGTTGGCTGCCTGGACAGCTGCACCATAAGCAATGGCTTCATCAGGGTTGATGCTCTTATTCAGTTCTTTTCCATTGAAGAAGTCTTGGAGAAGCTTCTGAAACTTGGGGATACAAGTAGAACCACCAACCAGGACAATGGCATGAATCTGTGACTTGTCTAGTTTGGCATCTAGAAGGACTTTCTCTATGGGGTCCAGGATGCCATGCAACAGGTCAACATTCTTTTCTTCAAATCAGGCATGGGTAATGGAGGTATAGAAGTTGATTCCTTCATAGAGAGAATTGATCTCAATACTGGCCAGGGTGCTGGAAGAGAGAGTATGCTTAGCTCATTCACAAGCAGAATGGAGGAATCTTACAGCTCTCTTATTCTTACTGATGTCCTTATGCTTGCGCTTGAACTCAGCAATAAAATGGTTGACCATTCGGTTGTCAAAATCTTCTCCACACTAGTGGGTGTCTCTGGCTGTAGATTTAACCTCAAAGATTCCATCCTTAGTAGTGAGGATTGACACATCGAAAGTGTCACCTCCCAGGTCAAAGATCAACACGTTTCTTTCCATTCCAACCTTTTTGTCTAAGCCATAAGCAATAGCAGCTGCAGTTGGCTCATTAATAATTCTAAGTACATTGAGACCAGCAATAGTTCCAGCATCTTCGGTAGCCTGACACTGAAAGTCATTAAAGTAACAGCATTGGTAACAGTCTTCCCAAGGTTGACTTCCGCAATTTCCTTCATCTTTGTCAGAACCATAGAGGGTACCTCCTCTGGATAGAAGCTTTTGGTCTCTCCCTTGTATTCTACTTGGGCCTTGGGACTGCCAGCATCATTCAACACCATGAAGGGCCAATGCTTCATATCAGACTGGACAACAGCATCATCAAATCTGCGTCCAATCAGATGTTTGGAATCACAAACGTTTGGTGTGTTGATGGGGTTCATTGCAACTTGATTCTTTGTGGCATCACCAGTCAATCATTCAGTGTCCAGCGACATAGCTTGGAGTGGTTCGGTTTTCCTGATCATTGGCAATTATCTCTATTTTTCTGTCCTGGAAAACACCCACACAAGAATAGGTGGTGCCAAGATAAATACCAACTGCAGGTCCCTTCGACATGGTTGCTGGCATGTAGGCCTGGCTCCAACAAAGAAGAAAGCCACAGGAACCCCAAGAACTGCAAGTGAGTTCAATCGCAGGTTTCTCTTTGACATACTGATTCCAAGTCCTTTGGATAAATACTCAGTAGTGAAATTGCTGGATCATATGGTAACTATTTTTAAATGTTTTGAGAAACTTTATACTATTTTCCATAATAGTCGTACTAATTTACATTTCCACCAGTAGTGTATAAGAATTTTCCTTTCTAGCAGCTGGGTACAGTGATGTGGGCCTATAGTCTCAGTTACTTAGGAGGCTGAGGCAGGAGGATAGTTTGAGCCCAGGACTTCGAGGCCAACCTGGGCAATATGGTGAGACATTACCTTTAAAAAAAAAAGTGTTTAAAAAGATGAGTTCCCTTTTCTCTGCATCCTTGTCAGCAGTTTTACTTTTCATCTTTTAGATAACAGCCATTCTAATTGAGGTGAGGTGATATCTCATTGTGATTTTGATTTGCATTTCCCTGATGATTAGCGACGTTGAGCATTTTGTCATTTACCTGGTGATTTGTATGTCTTATTTTGAGAAATGTCTATTCAGGTCTTTTGCTTATTTAAAAATCTGATTTTTTGTGGGTTTTCTTTTTTTTGGTATTGAGTTGTTTGAATTCCTTGTGTATTCTAAATATTAGTCTCTTGTCAGATGGAAAGTTTGTGAATATTTTTTCCCATTCTTAAGATTGTCTCTTCACTCTGTTGATTGTTTCCTTTGCTATGCAGAAGCTTTTTGGTTTGCCCCATTTGTCTATTTTGCTTTTGTTGCCTGTGATTCTGAGGTCCTATCCAAAAAATTCTTGCCCAGACCAATTTCGTGAAGTGTCTCCCCTGTGTTTTCTTCTAGTAGTTTACAGTTTTGGGTCTTACATTTCAGTCTTTAATCCATTTTGAGTTTTTTTAATATGGTGAAAGACAGAGGTCTTTCATTTTTCCACATGTGAATATTCAGTTTTCCCAGCACCATTTATTGAAGAGACTGTCCCTTTCCTCATGGGTGTTCTTGACACCTTTGTTGACAATCAATGGACTGTAAATGTGTGGATTTATTTCTGGATTTCTTTCTGCTCCGTTGGTCTATGTGTCTGTTTTCATGCCAGTGCCATGCCAGTTGGGTTATTATAGCCTTGTAGTGTATTTTGAAGTCAGTGTGATGTCTCCAGCTTTATTCTTTTTGCTCAGGATTGCTTTGGCTATTTGATGCCTTTAGTGGTTCCATGTGAATTTTAGAATTGTTCTTATAGTTCTATGAAGAATGTCATTAATATTTTGATAGGAAATGTGTTGAATCTATACATCATTATGGGCAGTATGGACTTTTTAACAATATTGATTATTCCTGTCCATGAACACAGATATCTTTCAATTTATTTGTGCCATCTTGAATTTCTTTCATCAATGTTTTATAGTTTTTATAGCAGGTATCTTTCACCTCTTTGGTTAAATTTATTCTTAGGGTTTCTTTTTTGGTAGCTATTATAAATAGGACTGCTTTCTTGATTCCTTTTTAGATAGTGTGCTATTGGCATATAGAACTACTACTGATTTTTGTATGTTGATTTTGTGTCTTGAAACTTTACTGAATTCATTTATTAGTTTTTGGATCTGGGTCACATTGATGAAAGAGGTGGGTTCCAATGGTCTTGGGTAGCTCTGCCTCTGTGGCTTTGCAGGGTACAGCCTCCTTCCTGACTGCTTTCACAGGCTAGTGTTGTGTCTGCAACTTTTTCAGGCTCACAGTGCAAGCTGTCAGTGGATCTACCATTCTGGGGTGCACAGGATAGTGGCCCTCTTCTCACAGCTCCACAAGGCAGCACCTCAGTGGGGACTCTGTGTGGGAGCTTGCACCCCATATTTCCTTTCTGCATTGCCCTAGCAGAGGGTCTCCATGAGTGCCCCACCCCTGCAGCAACCTTCTGCCTGAACAACCAGGCATTTCCATACATCCTCTGAAACCTAGGCAAAGATTCCCAAACCTTAATTTTTGACTTCTGTGTACCTGCAGGCTCAACACCATGTGGAAACTGCCAAGACTTTGAGCTTGCACCCTCCAAATCCATGGCTTGAGCTGTACCTTGGCCCCTTTTAGTCACAGCTGGAGTGGCTGGGACGCAAGGTACCAAGTCCCTAGGCTGCACACAACAGAGAGACCCTGGACCTGGCCCACAAAACCATTTTTTCCTCCTACGTCTCTGGGCCTGTGATGGCAGGGGCTTTCACGAAGGTCTTTGACATGCCCTGGAGACATTTTCCCTATTTTCTTGGTGATTAACGTTCAGCTCCTTGTTACTTAGGCAAATATCTGCAGCCAGCTTGAAATTCTCCTCAGAAAATGGGATCTTTTTTTCCTGTTGCATTGTCAAGCTGCAAATTTTCTGAACTTTTATGCTTTGTTTCCCTTTTAAAACTGAATGCCTTTAACAGCACCCAAGTCATCTCTTGAATGCTTTGCTGTTTAGAAATTTCTTCTGCCAGATACCCGAAATCATCTCTCTCAAGTTCAAAGTTCCACAAATCTCTAGGGCAGTGGCAAAATGCCACCAGTCTCTTTGCTAAAACATAACAAGAGTCACCTTTGCTCCAGTTCCAAACAAGTTCCTCATCTCCATCTGAGACCACCTCATCCTGGATCTCGTTGTCCATATCATTATCAACATTTTGGTCAAAGCCATTCATTAAGTCTCTAGGGAGTTCCAAACTTTCCCACATTTTTCTGTCTTCTTCTGAGCCCTCCAAACTGTTCCAACCTCTGCCTGTTACTCAGTCCCAAAGTCACTTCCACATTTCAGGTATCTTTTCAGCAGTGTCCCACTCTACTGATATCAATTTACTGTATTCGTTTTTTTTTTGTTTTGTTTTTGTTTGTTTTTTTTTTTTTTCATGCTGCTGATAAAGATATACCTGAGACTGGGAAGAAAAAGAGGTTTAATGGACGTACAGTTCCATGTGGCTGGGGAAACCTCACAATCATGGCAGAAGGCAAAGAGAAGCAAGTCATGTCTTACATGGATGTCAGCAAGCAAAGAGAGAGAGCTTGTGCAAGGGAACTCCTCTTTTTAAAACCATCAGATCTCATGACACTTATTCACTATCATAAGAACAGCATGGGAAAGACCTGCCCCCATGATTCAATTACCTCCCACTGGGTTCCTCCCACAACATGTGGGAATTCAAGTGAGATTTGAGTGGGGACACAGCCAAACCCTATCAACCATGTATTTTCTTTATCCCCTTGAGTTTTAGATCCCATAAATAAGTAAAAACATGCAATGTCTGTCTTTCTGTGCCTAGCTTATTTTACTTAAAATAATGATCTCCAGTTCCACCCATGTTGTTGCAAATGACTGGATCTATTTTTTTTATGGCTGAATAGTACTCCATTGTGCATGTGTTCCACACTTTCTTTTTCCATTTGTCTGTTGATGGACACTCAGGTTCCTCCCAATCTTAGATATCGTAAATAATGCTGCAACAAAAATAGTAGTGCAGATATCTCTTGATACGCTGATTTCCCTCCTTTTGGATATATACACAACAGTGGGATCGTTGGATCACATGGTAGCTCAATTTTCAGTTTAATGAGGAACCTCCAAACTGTTCTCCATAGTGATTATACTAATTTACATTCCCACCAACATACAAGCATTCTCTTTTCTCCACATCCCCACCAGCATTTGTTATTGCCTGTCTTTTGGATATAAGACATTTTAACTGGGGTGAGATGATATCTTCTTGTAGTTTTGATTTACATTTCTCTGATGATCAATCATGTTGAGTACCTTTTCATATGCCTGTTTTCCATTTGTAAGTCTTCTTTTCAGAAATGTCTATTCAAATCTTTTGTCCATTTTTTATTGGATTATTAGATTTTTTTCCTATAAAGCTGTTTGAACTCCTTATATATTCTGGTTATTAATCTCTTGTCAGATAGGTAGCTTTTAAATATTTTCTCCCATTCTGTAGGTTGTCTCTTCACTTTGTTGATTATATTTTTTGCTGTACAGCAGTTTTTTAACTTGATGTGATCCCATTTGTCTGGGTTTGCTTTGGTTGTTTGTGCTTGTGGGGTATTATTCAGATTTTTTTTTTTGCCCAGACCAATGTCCTGGAGACTTCCCCAATGTTTTATTGTAGTAGTTTCATAGTTTGAGGTCTTAGATTTAAGCCTTTAATCCATTTTGATTTGATTTTTGTATATGGTGAAAGATAGGGGTCGAGTTACATTCTTCTGCATATGGATATCCAGTTTTCCCAGCACCATTTATTGAAGAGACTGTCTTTTCCCTAGTGTATGTTCTTGGCACCTTTGCTGAAAATGAGGTCACTGCAGGTGTATGGATTTGTTTCTGGGTTCTCTATTCTGTTCCATTGGCTTACTTGTCTGTTTTCATGTCAGTACCACGCTGTTTTGGTTACTACAGCTCTGTAGTGCAATTTGAAGTCAGGTAATATGATTCCTCCAGTTTTGTTCTTTTTGCTTAGGATAGCTTTGGGTATTCTGGGTCTTTTGTGGTTTCATATACATTCTAGGATTTTTTTTCTATTTCTGTGAAGAATGTCATTGGTATTTTGATAGGGATTGCATTGAATCTGTAGATTGCTTTGGGTAGTATGAACATTTTAACAATATTGATTCTTCCAATGCATGAACATGGAATATCTTTCCACTTGTTGGTGTCCTCTTCCATTTCTTTCATCAGTGTTTTCTAGTTTTTATTATAGAGATCTTTCACTTCTTTGATTAAGTCAATTCCTAGGTATGTAGTTTTATGTGTGGCTATTGTAAATGGGATTACTTTTTAAAATTCTTTTTAACATTGTTCACTGTAGGCATATAGAAATGCTACTGATTTTTTATGTTGACTTTGTATCCCTCAACTTTACTGAATTTATCAGTTCTAATAGTTTTCTTACAAAGTCTTTATATTTTTCCAAATATAAGATTATATCATCTGCAAATAAGGA